ACCACATAAGCCAAATAACCCGCACACCCGTGTTGAATATACTGTCGAGCTCTGACTGTAGAACAAAATCATGAACCCATCATGGTGCCCTCTCCATAGATAATCATTTCTCCCCTACTTGGGGTTCGGCTAATCCATCCCTACAATCACGCAGACGTCCCCTATGGGAATAGGGATCAAATTGATCGGAAAGGATACCCCAAAGATCTGTAGAACACATCCCTGATATACTGATGATGCAGAAACCCCGTGTTTGTTGGCGATAGAGACTTTCAATGAACACTCTAACTCCCCAATGGGCATGTCAAAACGCCTGCTGAACGATCCAGATACAAAGGACCGACTCGCACCCGATTCAAACAATAAAATAGCATGCAAAGTGTTCACTAGCAACGTACCTAACAGACGTACACACATAAGCATAACACAAAACATAATCAAAATTATAATGGATGGAAACATACCATCCACAACATCTGGTGCTGCTCTAGTATCCTCGGCGGTAAGCTGGAAGGTAGGCTGGAAAGCGTGACCTCGAGACCTCGGGGGCTCCGTATTGGCCTGACTCTCATCTGTGATCCTCAAAGTAGTTGGTGCTGGAACCTGCGTTAGCCTAGCGGCAAGAGATGGGCAGTTGGCCTTCACATGGCCAACCTGGTCGCAATGATAACAAACTCTGGAACTGAGTGCTGGACTCCGCTAGCGGCAATCCCTCGCCATGTGGCCATGTCGACCATAATTGTGGCACCGAGATGATTATCGACAAGCACCCTCATGTGTCTTTCCGCACTTGCCATAAGTGCGGCCCTTCCAGCCCCCATATCTGACATCAGTGATCTTAAATCATTTTGGCGCAGGCTGCGACTGCTCCGGGGTCGGCCTCTGCTCTGCAGATCAATCTCAATCTCACGCCGCCTGGCAGCCTCCTGCAACTCCAACAATGTACCATAGCGTCGAGTAGAAACAAACTTCCTAATCTCTATCACGAGAATGCTCAAGTAACAGGTCATTTGAGTTTGCTTAGATGTAGCAAACTTAGGGCAAAACATAGCTCTCTTCGTGAACATCTTGGTGATCTTCGTCACCGTCTCAATACCCTGACTTAAGTCCAGTTACTCCTGGGCCAACCTCTCTCGCTCCAATAGCGGCACATATCGGGAACGGAACATCTCAGATAACTGCTCCCAAGTCACAACATCTCTCTGCTCAACAGAGTACGAACTGGTAACGAGCCTCCACCATTCCTTCACTCCAGTCCTCAGAAGGTTCAGGGCGCACCAGACCTTCTGGTCAGCAGGGCAAAAGCAAGTGAAGAAACATCCCTCCACGTCAGATAACCATCTCATGGAAATGATCGCATCCTGCACCCCATCGAAAGTTGGGGGCTTCCTATTGTCAAAGTCCCGATACTAAAAAACCCAACCTGATCCAACACTCGTAGCAGCCACGGCCGTAGAGCCTGCAACAGCAGCAATCTCAGCAACTGATGTATATCTATCATCAAAGAACTCCATCATCTCGGTCTTAATAGACCCAAAAAGCTCTGATATCTGGTCTCGGATAATGGCCACAACCTCCTCATGGAGAATCCTCCTAATCCTTGCATCCAATTCATCTGATCCAATCTGTTCGGATGGGGAACCAACTCTCAATGAAGCCCTAGGGGTTGTGACTTCCTTGCTATGCATACGGGACCTATACTTTCAGCAGTACGGGACCATACTAGCTTCCACACCTACCCGTATTTGTCTCAAGGATCATCACAACACCCTAAATGTACTCATAAGCATAACCATACACTCAATCTTCACTCCATACAGGAAAGGCTAAACATCTCACAATTGGTCGGCTGACCCCACACAACTCATCCATGAAACTTCCACCAACTCTGTAGCACTCGTGTATGCTAGCCATACATAACATTGGACCCTATAGACATTCGAATATCTGATACTACCCTAAGACCTTCATCAAACAAGAACAGGAAATAAGGCCAAACTAAACATTCTCAGGCTATAAGATCTTTGTTATATACAACTGTGATGCATACACTAAGCAACTACAATAATGATGTCAAATTTTATATAAGTAAAACCCTAGGCTATCAGGCATCATATAAACAGGCAACCCTATCATAACAGTATGGTATTTTTGGGTCTACTTATTGGCTCCGGCTAATCGTACACATTGCATCCTCCTTGAGTATTTTGAAAACCATTTAAAAATCATTTTTGAAAATCTTTTTCCTTAGTTTGAGACTGGATTCACACGAGTGTTCCTCCAATTCACTCAAAGCAAGGCTTTGATACCAACTTGTAACATTCATAAAATTCTTGAAAATTTTAAACTTTTTAAACAAACCCAAAACCATCATTGTTTACAAATTGTTTTTAAAATAAGTTGAACATTGGAGTAATCCCAAAATCTTAAAACAAAAACATTAGGCGGTTAATGATCACGCCTTAATCTTCTCACGATCCTCTGAGGTACCTGAAACATAATCCAAAACTATAAGCCCTGAGCTTAGTGAGTTCCCCCAAAATACCGATACATAACAAATAACACAAATATAATAACAGCGTGCAATGGGTCCATAGCTAACATAATGGATTACCCCTGAGCCCACAACATAAGTCTGACTTGCCCTTGGCCCACGGCTTATGTCTGGCTTGCTCCCCGGCCTTATCATGCCTTGGACTAAATGCCAGTAAGCCCTTAGTACGAGTCTGGCATGCCCTCCCCGACCCTCAGCTTGTATCTAGAATGCTCATGAGCCCTCAGTATGAGTCCGGCATGCCCTCCCTGGCCCTCAGCTCAATCTGGTATGCTCCATGGTTTGTTGGCTACAAAACGGAGCAGTACAACCTCAACCCAACCCACACAATATGTCGACATATAACAAATAGTATCATATATACAGATAAACATACAATATAACAGGTAGTCCTACAGATCTACCAGACTAGCATATCAAGACTAACATGTATATTTATTCCATACTCAGCATATCATCAATATTAGGTTATCAAACCAATGGGTCGTCCTTGGTGTCGTCGACTCCTAAGTATAGTGAGAAAAACTCACCTCACACTGTTGAATTCCTACTGAAAGTATCTGACTGCTGGCTCACAGAAACACCGTAGTATCACAACATAAAATCATCCTATTAATACCTGAATTACAATCTAGGTTAACAGCCTAGGATTAGGGTAAATGGCCTATTTGCCCTAAGGCCCAAGACTTAACCCAGAAGGCCCAAACACTACATAACCATCCACGACCCATAATTGGCCCAACTTTCCAAATTGGGCCTTACTCCCACTTGAACTATCATATAAATCCTACACCTTAGGATACATAAACTCAATAAATGGGTCGGCCTTGGTGCCTTCGACCCATTGGCATAGTGAGAGAACTCACCTTATGATCAAGGAGTAATTGCACAGAACTCTGTAACACACGCATCGGCTTTACTGTTCGCCTAAACAATAAACCGAGACCCAATTTGTAATCTTACTCTACAATACTCCTAAAAACCCAATAGTAAAACTTGGTAAATGGTCAAAAAGTCAACACTCTGAAGTCAACACAGATTGAGTACGCTTGGCGTACTTGGCTAGTACGCCTCGCATGAAAGGATCTATCCTAAAAACATATCCTAAACCATAAAGTTTCCAACTTTTTGGTTTTACATACCCAGAACAAACCCAACAACAAAACCCTAAATCTTCTTAACCGCTAAAGCTCTAAATGACTTGCATGAAAGGATCCTAGGGGATAAGATTATATTTTTATGACTCTAGACGTGGAAAAACGTCCAAAAGGACAATTCAAATGTTCTATAGCATGCCATGCACAAGAAATACCATATTTGGGGATAAAAGCTCATATTATCACCAAACAAGTTTGATCTAGCAACTTAATCATCAATGTGGGAACTTTATACCTTCTGTAGGTTGAGGGTAATGCAATACTTCCATATACAAGCTTGCTTCTAGCTTCCAAGCTTCCCTACTACCTTCTCCTTCCTTTGGAACACACAAGAACACTCTCGAAAGTCTCAAAATGCAATAATGGGGGCTAGGGTTTGCAAGAAAACGTCTCAAGTGATGGAGGATGGAATGGACTTGGGAGTTGGGGCTTAAGGATCAATATATAAGGTCCTAAATCCCATGATTTAGGGGTTTCGTCCAGACCGAGTATGCTCAACGTACACTAGTGTATGCCCAACGTACTCCAAAACGACATTGTCTCCATAAGTAATCCTTACGCCCAGCGAACCACCCAGGTACGCCCCGCGTAAGGACTGAGCTTGCAAAAATAATAAAGTGAAGGGTAGGAAGGGAAACTAACAAGGACTCGGGTGTAACAAAAAAAACATACCTAGAGAGCATAACCGAAGAGACAAATCGAAGAAAAACTCCTACGGACTAAGGATAATCATCGACCGGAAGAGGGCACCAAAACACCATGTAAACAGTAGCTCAACATTCCACCACCTTTTACAGAGCACCAAAACACCACATAAACAACAACTCAACATTCCAACATCCCTTTCCGATTACCCTAGCATACCCACCAATAAAGAAACATACCTTGTCTGGCAATCCACAAAATGAGGGAAATAATCAGGCAAAAAATAATTAAACATATAAACAGTAAAAAAACACTACTCCGATAACGGGTAAAAAGAAGAGAAAAAAAATTACCATAACTACTGCTCATAAGACAATGGTATGCTTTCATTATATGTATATAAACAAGAACTATTAAATACTTGGTTCCATTAAGAAATTGAAAATAGTTAAATACTTGGCCCGAATTATCAAATAATGAAACATTGAATTATGAAGCGTAAGCCCTAGGGATGAGCAAAGAAACTGACCCGACTGAGCCCGCCCGAACCGAAAACTACCCGGGAACCGAACTTGGTGGACAAAACAAATTAAACACCACCAACCCATTTATATACAAAATCAATTTTCCAAGTCATCAAAAAATCATTCAAAGCCCAAATGCCAAATATACCCTTCCTTCATCTTCATTTCAAAACTCAAAATCTTGATCACCATCTCAACTTCCTTCATCTCACTTTCCACAAACTCCCCAGCTGTAAAAATACACACTTTTTTGTTTAATTCAATCCAGCTTTGACCTGGAGTTTTGGTCAAACCCTGTGCCCTAGCTGACACTCTCACTTTTGCAGACTCCTCCCATCTACCACTTCCAGCATACATATTCGAAACCAACATATAATTCCCACTTCTAAAACTACCCTTGAGTATCTTTTCAACACACCCATCATCCCAATCTATCTTCTTTTGCTTTTGCATTTGCATTTGCATTTGTATTCTACTTGAGTTCAAAAGAGCACCCCAAACACATACATTAGGTTCAATCTTCATCTTCTTCACAACTTCACTTGCTTCTTGAAAAAGTCCACCACGTCCAAGAAGGTCAACCATACATGTGTAATGCTCAATCTCTGGTTCAATCCCAAATTCATTTTTCATTTTTTTAAATATCTCATGCCCCTCACTAACAAGCCCTGCATGGCTACATGCAGAAAGTAACGAAACGAAAGTGACCCCATCAGGGGTATATCCGTCATTGACCATTTGTTTGAATGTTTTTAAAGCACTCTCACCAAATCCATGCATCCCATATCCTTTAATCATGGTGTTCCATGAGCATAAATCCTTGTTTACTATGTGCTTGAATACTATATGCCCTTCTTTCAGGCTACCACATTTGGAATAAACATTTATCAACCCGTTTCCAACTAATAAATTATCATCAATTAACCCTCTAATAGCATGACAATGTATTTCCTTACCATAAACAATTGTAGATAAATCTGCACAAATTGATAACATGGTGGATATTGTTACCACATTAGGCCTCACTTTTTCAACTTGCATTTGCCTGAAGAGTTTTAAAGATTCTTCATGTCTACCCTTAGAAGCAAATCCACTTATAATATCACTCCAGGTTATTACATTAGGTGTGATATTTCCTTCTGATTTTTTCAACTCTAAGAACGTAGAGAAAGCCTCATCACATAGACCAAGTTGAGTATATGATGAAATCAAACCATTCCAACTTTCTAAACTCTTTGTTTCAATCTCTGAAAAAAGACATTCAGCAGCTTGTAAAAAACTGTGTCTTCCATACATGCATAGAAGAGAGTTTTTAGCAAATGAATAGTTTTCAAGACCAGCCCTTATGACATACCCATGAAGCTCCCTACCCTTATTAGGATCATTACATACAGATACAACCACAGCAAGTGATTCAGCAGTTGCTTTGATGCCTTTACTTCTCATTACATTGTATAATCTCAATGTTTCCTGATGGTGACCACATCTAGAATGACTAGACAACAAAGAAGTCCATGTCACAAGGTCAGGCTCCCATCCATCAAGTTCCATCCTTTGAAAGATATTCAGAGCGCCATTGGAGTTATTATTGAAAGCAAAGCCGGAGACCATAGTGTTCCAAGAGATGTGGTTTCTAACAAGCATTTCATCGAACAGTTGGTTTGCAAGGGCCATTTGCCCAAGTCTGCCATACGCTGCCAACAATTCATTTGCAACGTGAAGGTTATCGTGAAATCCTGTTCGTAAAGCATGGCAATGAACTAAAGCGCATGAATATCGGTTGCCCATCTTAGCGCAAGCTCTCACTACCAAAGGAAAACTAAACTCATCAGCTAAAACGCCAAGATGCCTCATGCGGGTATAAACCTCAAGGGTTTCTCGACAATGACCATTCATGACATTAGCTCTTAACATCGAATTCCAAATAATCGTATTTCTTAAAAGGCATTCAGTTGGGACAGCTTCAAAAACTCTTTGAGCATCACAGAGACGTTGGAATCTTCCATAGACAGATACGAGCGTAGATGACAAGAACGCAGTTGACAAGCCACCCAATAGCACGATTTGAGCATGTACTTGTTTGAATTGTCTGGAGTTGGTGCATCCTCGTAGAAGATGATCGAAGTGATCAAAAGCTTCATTGAGTGTATATGGTTTAAACAGGGTGTGGCAGCTGTAGCCATTGGAAATCCAACGCCTTGAAACTAATGCACAGGAGATATGAAGGAAACGCCTCGAATTTGAAGGAGAAACAATGATCATCAAGCTTGTCGATTCTGAGTGAAAAGATATGCAAACTTTCTCATCAAACAGTAGAGGAAATAAAAAAATCCAAACTTGTATGTTGAATGTGTTTGACTGTGTAAGTTCAATCTATGTGCATGTTGATTTTAAATAAGTTATCCAAGTTTTGACTTTTGCGTAACATTTAGTAATAAATCTTTTCTTTTATATGTATTTAACTAATATTTGAAAATTTATTAGTCCTTTTCCTTTTTCTTTTGTATGTATTTAATCATAACCTTGCATAAAATATAAGTGTTCAAAATTTATGATCAACAAACAATTTACTTTCATTTCACATATTTTTTATTTTTTAACATTTTGATAATTCTTTTATATAAAATAAATATATGACAACTTCTTGCCCGGTTGCCCCAACTTTTTTTTCTACATAGCTAAATGTGTGCAACACTGACTATGAAAGTAAACTCCAAACGTCACTTGGCAATGACACAATATAATTTTGTATATTTGATCGCTAAAAGTTTTATTGGATATCATCTAAGGTAGTAAGTTATAATAAGGTTGAAGCTTCGTTCTCAAAATTTGCATAAATCATAGGTTTTCGAAGTGATCGAGTGGATGCGTTTCTTGGATCACAAAATTTGATATGCATACTGGATTTACTTTTTTTTATAAAGTTACGTTTAGAGACGTTTAAAATAGCTTTTAGCCAAATTTGATCTTAACCGTAAATTTATTGGTTAAGTGTATATAAAGAAAATAAACAGTCTAAATGTTTACAATTATAAAAGTTGTTACCATCACAAGTTTATTGGTTGCCAGAAAAATAAGAAAAACCTTTAATTATCGGTAATAATGATATTTTTTGAACACTTTATATAAATTTATTGGTCAAATATGTATATAAAAAATAATTAAATATATATAATTAAAAAAGTTGGTTACCCTCATAAATTTTTATAATAATAATATACTCTTTGGGTTTAGACTTTGACCACATAATCTTTGTATGTTGGCATGTTTTACCCTTCATTGAGTACTTCCACCATTAGACAAGGGGCATATGATATTCATTTGAAATTTACTACTTTGATCATTACACAAGGGCTATACATATCTTCCAATAGCTCTACAAAAGCTAAATAATAATGTCCTAGAATGTTAACTCATCGTTGTGTGAGAATTAACACTACATCAAATTATGCCCCCATAAAACGAGACAAACATCACTCTAGTTATTATTAATTTTAAATACATTCCGGGGGTTTTGAGGGCTACCAAAAGTTTGAAATAGGAACCATATCTAAGCACGTAAAATTTTAACAAAATGTTAAAACCGATTTCATTTACACTATAGATACCCCTCATCCAAATTTGTTGTGGATCAAAATGTTAAAAGTTATTGAATATAATGGTGTATGTTGATGATACACTGGGGGAGGATGTATAATAATTATCTTATGCCAGATTTGGTAGTTGTAAGGTTTTCTTTGAAATTTTTGTAGCAAGGTAGTTTGTTCGATTTGTTTTTTTGGTAAATCTCAATATTATCTTCTATTACTTGTACATTCATATCTAAAATTTGTGGTTAAAGTAAGTTTATCTACTTGTATCTTTTGTCAAAACAAGTGTTTTGGTGAAGTTGCCGAATACAAGGATGGTTGTTTTATAAGACAAAACTATAGCACTTTTTTCTTATGATAAAATAAAACTGTATTTTCAAATTATTTCTCATTAGAATATTATACTTTTGATGACATGGCATAGTTAATGATAACATAATTTGATATGAATCCAATTAAAATGATATGGCATACTAGAATTGGTATTTGAGAAACATCCAATTAAATTCATTTCTCACAGTTAGTGAAGATTTACACTCAAAACATCCAATTAAATGTACATATTACTCATTTTTCTCAAGCAAGATTTTAACAAAGACACCCTACTTTCTTGATATACTCAAGTAACTTACAAATCAGACTTTGTAAGTTCTTCAACAGAATTTTTGTACTTTGCAATTAGTTCCCTGGAATCATAAAACATAAGAATAAAAAAAAAAAAAAAAAATTAGAAAGTGCAACTATGAATAGAATATAGCAAACCCCATACCTTCTTTGATTTAGCATTTGTTCAGCTTCATCAACTTTACGTTTTTGTCCCTCCACCGTCTAAAATAATCCCAAAGAAGAATGATGATTCAGAAATCAGAATTATATCATTTTTGCTCTCAAATAATGTTTCTCTCAATCATTTAGTGGAACATATCTAGCATGCTTTCATTCTACTTCATATTATCCGATTTGCATATAACAGATTGAACAAACAACAGGTAACATCTCGAATAATATGCAAGCAACAATACCGCAGCTTTGGTGGCAATAGATCCAGATATAGTGTTCAAGAGCTGCTGACATTTCTCAAAGTGGCTGCTCAATTCAGTAACCTTCAAGAAAAACAAAATGTCATGTGATTTATGAGAATAGTACAAACAAAACAGAACAGAACCAATGAAAAACCCTAAGTTGGAAAATTGGTTACTTTTAGGGCTCTGATTGCAAGTCTTTTCAGAAAAACGATCAATTTGAAGTACAATAGAATAATGCATAAAAGTTGTGATAGCAGCATGTCGAAACGAGAAAGGGGGAAATTTAATTTTAATAACACTCACCAGTGTATCAAAATGCTGATCTCGAGTTCCATTCTCAATCGCATCTGCTAAATTCTCCACCAACTATAAGAATGAAATCAAGATGACTCGCCCAATAATCGAAATGCAAATTCTACGATTAGGGTTTAATGATATCGAGAAGAAGGGCATACGTTTTGGAGGTGGAAGTGCGAAGCCAGTGATTGTGAAGTCTGTTGCTGTTGTTGTTGTTGTTGCTGTTGCTGTTGCTGTTGTTGAGAAATCTGATACCGTTGTTGTTGCTGCTGTTGTTGTTGCAGTTGAAACTGTTGTTGTTGATGAAATTGCTGCTGCTGTTGAAATTGCTGCTGTTGCTGGAGATATAGATGATCCTGGTTGGATGGCGTGGTAGGGTTGCTATGAGTTGGCATTGTTGGGATCATATTCCAGTTTCCTCCACCGAATTGATCCATATTCAAGGCTACGTAGTCGAAATCACACACTTTCTGGGCTAGGGTTTGTGTAGACAGACGAAGAAAACAACCGAAAGAGATGAAAGTGAAAACACAAAACCGGTTTTATGATTTTCGTTAAGCAAATTTTTAGCTGTTATATTTTTAATATCTTTTTTACTACAACTTAAAACACCTTAATTCTGTTTTGAATTTGTTTCTAATAATATTGTTAACAATGTTAAATAAATATAAAATTTAAATTGTAAACATAAATTAAATAAATTTTAATATTAAAATATTATTGTTTACTATTATTTATAAAATTATATCTCTAACTTTAACATAATTATTGTTGATTTAAAGTCATAATTTTTTAAATTGTTAATTTTAATTTAAATATAATATTAAAAAATTAATTTAAATTGAAAATTCAATTGAACTTATAAAATATCCAAAGATTATTTTGAAAATAATTAAATGTAATAAATTATGTACGACAACAATATTTAAAAATAACATTATATAAAAAGTTATAGTATAAAAAGTTATAGTGTTATTTTAAAAAACCCATGGATTATGTTTTATGTAATTACAATTATATAAATTAAAATGTTAAGTGGATATTTTTTAAATTAATAAATCATAACAACTATAAATTACATTAAACAATATATTATATTTAATTTTTTTTCATGATTAATTTGTAGGTAAATACAAATAAAACGATTGATATTATATATTTATAGATGTCTATCTTATCATATAATTCAAAATAATCAATGTTTTATATAAACTTAGTATAAGAATTGTTATATTAAAGTTAGCAACAACGTAATTATTATATTTAAAAAAAAAACATATATTTGTAAATATTTCAATTGTATAGTTGTATTTTCAACAACGCGTAGATCTTCGTCTAGTTTTATTAAAAAACCATCGTTTTGTATATAGAATTTTTCTAAAAGTTCATGTTTATACATTTTTTTGGAAAAAAAAAAACTCATTTTTATTAAAAAAAACAGCAAAGCAAATTTTTGACGGATCATTTTCTCTTATGCTTTCGCAATGTGACATGTTTAGTCCTTTGAGTTAGTTGTTTGTTCTCCTTGTACAGTTCTTCTCGGTCTCTGATTCCAACTTTTCCAGCCTTCAAACCTCACCGAGAATATATACTCTGAAATCCAATACCAATAAATGAAAAGATAGCAAAATAACTTAAAAGTTAAAACTCTAAGAAAAAATATGAAACTTATCTTTCAGTCAAAATGTTTGGATTTGATTCTATTACTTGAAATTGCAATGACCCATTTTTTTTTTTTTGGCAATGTTTGGCAAATTGCCATGTAATTAAAGAAAAACATCATGAAGTGAGTGGATTAGAGGTATGTAAGTCGTTTTGGTAAAATTGTGAATCCCCGTCATGACCCTTTCCAAATTTATGCAAGATTTTGTAAACTTGTTTTTGGCTATCTAATATACCCATTATAAGTGCTCTTCGATTTTACATTGAATATCATGTTTCCTAGAAAACTTTAGAATATTTTTAGAATGTTTCAAAATACTTTGGTATGTTCTTAAATGTTTTCGAACACCTTCGAAAGTCAATATGATAAAACGTATGCGGTGTCTTGCAGATAGTTATAAAACATGGCAAAATATTTTAAAACTTTATAACTATAAGACTCTAGGACTTTCCCTTTGATGATGATGTGGAAGGTTAAGCTAGCACTTATTAATAGATTTCTCAAATCATCCAAAAAGAACACTCCAAATTCTTTTGTAAGCTCTCAATCTCTTTTATAACAATACAATTATATATATATATATATATATATATATATATATATATATATATATATATATATATATATATATATATATTATAACTCTCTAAGAAGTGCAATTTAAAGTAAGCTAAGTGGCACATGATT